GAAGATTCGATTTAGATCTCTGTCTGCGGCGTTCGCGGGGCTTTGTCTCTCTGTCCCCGTCTCTGTCTCTCTGTCTCTGTGTGTGTGTGTGTGTGTGTGTGTGTGTGGGTGGGTGTGTGTGTGTGTGCGCGTGGGTGTGTGGGTGTGTGTGTGTGTGTGTCTGTGTATTAGTATTAGTACTAGTATTAGTATTAGTATTGGTAATAAAAGTAGTAGTAGTAGTAGTAGTAGTAGTTGTTGTTGTTGTTGTTAGTAATAGCAGTAGAAATACAAGTAGAAGTAACGTTGTCGTCGGCGTCGTAGTCATAGTACTCGAAGTAGTCGTGGCAGGAGTGGTGGCAGTAGTAGCAGTAATGGTAATAGTAGTCGTAGCAGAAGTAGCAATAGTAGTAGCAGCAGCAGCAGCAGGATGAGGAGTACAAGTAGCAGTAGGACTATGTGAGGAGACGAGGAGGAGGAGCAAGAGGAGTCAGCAGCTGTAGCTAGCAGGAAATGATCACTGGATAGTACCGCTATCCTTGTTGAATTTGGGCTCGGCGGCGTATGCCAAGCGGTCGCTATTGCCCTGCGGATTGGTTTGTAATGTTGTTGTATTCACTGATGGGTTTCAAGATGTTTCAAGCAGCAGTGGAGAAGAGAAGGCACTAGTACGCCTGGCCTCTTGCCGAGGAAGTACCGCGCCAGAAAGGCAGCCAGTGGTAGCTTCAACTGTCAGAAGGCCCGCGATCAGGGGACGAGAGACTGCTGAGGACATGTCGTACATTTCTCTCGCACCGTGAAACTGAACATGTCGTGGAGTTGACTTCTGAAACTCGAGCCTGGCCCACTAGCTTGATGAAAGCAGCACTCTGTTTCTCAAAGGCCTGGCACGGTGTGTAGACAGGCAATGTGCTTGCTAAGCCAAGCGTCCCATAGGCGCCTTGAGGAGCGAGATGCTCGAACAAGCAAACAACCTGAGAGCTATCTGAGCTATCCAGAGCTGCTCGATGTTTTTGTGCGAAGCTGCTCCGGTCTAGACTGAGCAACGCACACGGAAGCAAAAAAGTTGGAACGATAGAAGACCTCGAGACGCTTTTTGTTGGCACTCGGGTGGGTCTGGAGCTGCTGCGTCCGAGCTCCCAGCGTTCTCCGGCGCCACGCACTGTTGCAGTCCCCTTTTGGGAAAGTGCTAGTGGCTGCTAGTGCAGAGCTGCGCCATGGCCGCTCCCAGCCTCCATCCGTCCTGTCGAACTGCCCAGACGGCACCTGTGTCGGATCACTGGAACGGAATCCACCGAAAACGGCGCGAACTTTTTCCAAGCCCCGCCGATGACCGCGGAGACCAGAGAGGTGACCAGCACGGCACTGGCCTTCTGATAGCCTCCCAGAGAGCAAAGAGGTTTGTGAAAGCCCGTGTGGGCGCGCTTGGACCATTTGGACTCCCCTGGACGCCGCCTTGGGAAGCAGCCTCGCTGCAGAGGTTCACACCCACGTCGCAACTGATGTACACTGCCACGAGGCAGATGGACCTGCCAAGCGGAAGCAGTGCCTTGAGCGAGGGCCAGGGCCAGGGCTGGGGCCCAAGCCAAAAGGCAGCTTTTTCACTGCCTTCTTGAGGTGTCGATGTCGCCTCTGCCGGTGCCGAGCTGAAAGTTCTCCGATTCGCAGCAGTGGCCTTGCCAGTGCGCAGCGACCGCAGCAGCGGCCTGGCACCGACACGGGACCGAAATTCCAATGCTTAGCTTTCGCCGTCCGCCCTTAAATGCCCGTGAAAGACTCCGGCCTTGGCCTCCGTGCAGACCGCATGCTGAACGCAAAGGCCGTGCTGGAGGCGAAGACTGCCACGAATGGCCTCTCAACGACCGACAGTCGCACAGATAAAAGAAGAGGAGCCTCAGACAGAGGCCGCACCGGTGCCCGGAAGCCGCGAGCCGTTTAGCTCCAGCTCGGCCTGAGCGGGCAAGGCGGGCCGCAAGGCGGTGGTGGACGAGAGATCCCCCAGAGGCCAGGACTCGCATCGGCCCGATGAGAAGATTCGGTGACCAGCTGGTCGGCCTGGGAAAAAAAAGACGAAGCGGGAGCGCTCTGTGGCCTTCTTTGCCATGGGGCCCGGCCTGGCGCCAGGAGACCCGCCTGGCCTCCAGGCCTGGCATCGCAAGAAGTCGCCTTAAGACTTCAAAGTACCTGCCGCCCGGCCCGGCCTGAGGACGAGCCGAGAGGAACCTCCATGTTGGCTCTATCCAGAGCTCGGCGTGGCCATATCTGTCAGCTTGCGTCGTCCCAGCCCAGCCTCGAATGAAACGAGCCAGAAATGGTCAACCCAGCCCATCTCCAGCCACTTCGCAACCCTGGCTACAACTCGAAGCCTTCTCGGCTACTGACTACTGCTCTGGCCTCTGTCCTGACCCTACGACATGTGACGTGTTCCAAAAGCCAGCACGGCTGCTCGACAAAGGTTGAAGGCTTGAATGGCTTGGTGTCCAGGCCAGGTGGGACTGGGGAGATGTGACTCGGCTCCTTTTTCTTCTCTCCAGGAGTCCTGGCCCTCGTCTCGCCCCAGAGCCGCGCCGCTCGCCGCGGCTTCGCTTCAGAGGGGAATGTGGCCGGATGCGGCTCAGGCTCGGGAGCTGGGAGCGCTCACTTGGCGGATCAGGAGTCGCCGAGACCTCAGCAAAGCGTGTCTGAAATCGTGACAGAAGCAAAACGCCCGCGCCGGGAGCCGCGGCCCTCTCCCTCTTCGAGCCCCTCTTCCTGCAAGGCTCGCAGCTCTGCTCGTCCCCAGCTCGACACCCTTTTCTGCACTACGCCAATCGAGCTGACGGCCACATCTTGGCACGGAGCACGGTGCAAATCTGACCTCAGCTACTCCTGCTGGCCATTACTGCCTGTTACATAGCGTCCCATCATCAGGATGCTCTCCAACTTGAAAGAACTTGCAGAACTCCGCGTCCTGTTTAACCGTTCAAAGTTCCAGTCGTCTCAGCGGCTCGCACGGTAATCACAATAGAAGTTATCGGGGGGCTTCAACTGGCTCACAGACGCGTTGTGCAGTCGGTCGCTGGGATTTGATTTCCTTGATCTGCAAGCGACTGCGCAAGCGACGGCTCGGCTGACGCAGCGGGGCCCAGCGCCCCTTCTGGGCCCACCGCCTCTCGGCTCCGAAATCCTCGCTTTGGTCCAAGTGGAATGTTGGGCCGGAATACCATGTTTACGACGGAGCCACGTCTTGATGAATGCGATGCATTCGACAAGGTGGACCGCTGCGGCTGCAGGCCTCAGCTCGGCCGGCGCGAAAGGTTCTGTTTTAGGGAATTTCCTCAACGAAGAAAGCCAGCCGAGGAGCTCTCTGTGTTAATTCCGAAGGGCAGCAAGCACGAGGGTCACCACGTTGTGTGCACCTGGGAAGCTGAAGATAGATGGAAGCAAACCCACCCGTTCTTGTGGCGAGAGCCCTTGCTGTACGTCGGGAGGCACCTCTCGTCGCTGCAGCTGCCACAGGTACTGGCACAGCAGGCCAGCCAGGACCGAACAGTGGAATTCTCTTCCTTTTGCCCGAAAGAGCAGCTGGGATCTCTCTGAACAGCCCCAAAATGTTCGCTGGTTCTCGGCCGAAATGTCTTCTCCACAGAGGCGAGGGATAAGATCAAATCGCCCCAGAACTTTACCTGCAAGACCGGGACACTGGCTAAATTGCAGCACTGCCTCGACCCAGCTTTCCACGTTCCAACCCGCCATCTGATGGCACCCCGAGACCTTTCACACTGAAAACCTACCGACCTCACCAGTGCACCAGCCTCGTCCGCCCGGAGCCGCGCATTGAGCTGTCGCATCTTTAGGCTCAGACTCCAAAGCTCTGGCGAAGACATCGAACCAACGAGCTCAAAAAGATGAGGGATGCCTTACCCGCGGCCCAATAAACCAGTCCCCGTCATGTCTGCAAATGACTTGCAAAAGGCTCATGCCGACAGCCGGTGTTGAGATTCAAGCTGGGCAAGCGGCCATTATGTTGGTCACGGAGATTTGCAGCGCTCGTGAGAATGGGAATGGGCAGTAAAATCAATGCAAAAGGGATACAAAAAAGCCACTGACAAATTTTACTTCCAGGCGTCTCTCGAAATGCAAAAAATAAGGGTAGCGGTAGAAGCTGGACCATTCCATGAAGTAGGCGTGGCGCCGCCATCCACACAATGACAAAATCCACGGAGCCGTGGAGCGCCTGGCAAAGTTCCCACACACCCGCTTGGCCACAAGCGAGAAGCCGACATGCAATGAGAATGACCGAACCTACGTTCGACCTTGCTAGATGAAAAAGAACAAACAAACAAAACAAACAAACGCAATAGTGGGGTTCCTTCGCTCTGGCGCGATTCTCCTGTGCACGTACTCGCTGTTACGCGGATCGTGACATTGACTCGATGCACCGACCCCCCGCCCCCGCTTTGTGGTTCATATATACGTACCAATGCCAAGTAGAAAAGGAAATAAACATGACCAGAACCCAGCTCAAGATCACACATTGCAGAATCGGTCACAATCGCAAAATTGGTGCAGTGGTACCGAAGTGGTAATCGTTGTCATGGTGGTCGCGGAGGTGATGGTCGTCGTGGTAGCAGTAGTCCTAGCAGTCGTCGCCGTGTCGGTCGAAATAACCGAAGCAGAAGCAGCAGGAGTAGCAACAGTGGTAATAGCGGTAATAGCGCTTTCTAGTGGTATTGGTAGTGGTAGCGGTACTCACTCACCCACGATCGCCATATCGTCCATGTCGATACGATGCGGGGACAGGCCTCAGGCCCGGCGAGTGAATATCGCACCATATTTTATGGTTCCACAAGTTACGTCTACAAGCATCGCCCCGTAGGCCAAACAAAAGAAGAGGAGGCCACCAGGAAAAACCATCATCAGTCGAGTGCATCAAGGTCTACCACCGTCGTCAAACTGTACTGTACAGACTGCGACTGCTGCTGTTCAGAGGGCAACCCTCCTGTAGCATCCGCAAGTGATGTCACAGGACGGATCACCTGGCACGGCATTCCTCCCAAGTCAGACCCAACGTTATCCTCCATCAGGGTAGCGTCGACGCCTGGTGCCACCCCAGGTGTCACAGTGGATGTCGGTGCAGCATTGGAAGTCCCAGTCAGCACTACCGGCATCGAAGTAGACGAAGAAGTAGCCGGCGCTCTGTCTCGTCGCCGCTACTGGCATCGGACAGTGTGTTGTGCCCCCCGTGTGCCGTCGCAAGTTGAGCAACAAAAGAGAAAAGTCCCACTAGTCATCCTATGACAACCCTGGGTAGCACAGCTGAAAAAGCGTGTATTATTGTCAGCTGAGCTTTCAAGGGCCGCCAGCCGGTCAACTTGTTGTTGCTGAAGGCAGCGTCGAGCATGGTGAGCACCCAGCGTGCGCTTGCACTCCGCACACCAATGCCGATGACCATTATCCACGAAACGCACTCTACAACCACGACTGAGGCAGTCACGAAGGCCAGTCAGGCTTGGCACCACGGAGTGCCGGGGCAACACTGGAGGAGCAGCTGCCGACGTGATGACCTAAGCCAGGCCGACGGTAATGCGCACTCTCGCAGCCCTAGTGCAAGGAGGCAGTGCAGCCGCTATGGTGTGACCGGCATGGTGCAGGGATACGCATGTGCTGCACATTTTTTCAACCAGCCCCCCAACTGGCGTTTGTGCCGGCGTGCTCTCCCAACCGGCGGTGCACAACGCATGTGCGCATCCAAACCCCCTATCGGCACCCACAAGGCCTAAGTTAGGGAAGCCGAAAGCCAAGTTCGGCCAAGCAGGCTTTGTGCCGCGGGGAGGCCTTATCAAACTGGCCACAACATGCTACCAGTCCTCTAAGAGCCTCCAGAGAGGCATCCCAAGGCGCGCGTGGGGTCCCGCCAGTCCTCTGCGCGCGTGGGGCCGCCAGTCCTCTGAGAGCCTCCAGAGAAGCATCCCAAGGCGCGCGTGGGGTCCCGCCAGTCCTCTAACAGCCTACAGAGAGGCATCCCAAGGCGCGCGTGGGGTCCCGCCAGTCCTCTAAGAGCCTCCAGAGAGGCATCCCAAGGCGCGCGTGGGGTCCCGCCAGTCCTCTAAGAGCCTCCAGAGAGGCATCCTGCCATTCACATGCGGCGTCTTGCCAGCAAAGAGCACGCAGCTTGCACTGGTGGAGAAGATATGCCCAGCTCGAAAGGAGCCCTCAACCTCCTCATAATGACGGCCGTCCTCTGCCTCCAGCCAAAGGCCTCCGTCATCATGATGACTCACACCTATAAGCAGGCTATGTCCCATCCAGTTCCAGCGGTCAAGGTGAGGCCCGCACCGGTTGTCTACCGTCAGCGCCAACGTTGACCACTTGAAGGTGTGGACAAATCTCAAGAATCAAATGGTTCAACAGCTAACAGACGTTGACATGCGAGCCGGTGTTACGCGCCAGGCCTGCGATGCCACCTTTGGCGTACAGCCCCAGATTAAAGATGAGTCCATTGGCGAAGGGACGCCCATCCATCACAAAGTCGAGGGCCGCAACCACAGTTCGAGCCATGGTCCAAGTCGAGCCCATCCCCTCGTTCCGATAATGCCACGCCAGCTGCTCAGCATCTGGGTCCAGCGTACTGAACTCCCCAATGGGCTCAGGCAGCCGCACCAGAACATTATCAGTGAAGCACGTCGCCAGCTCAGAAACATAGGACATGTAGGTCTCAAAATCCGAGGACGAAAGCTTTTCCCGAGCGAGCTGGATGATATCGTTGCGACACGCCATGGTGACAGTCGGCGGGTAGTGGAGGCCTGCACTCCCCTGAAATAGGTTCTTGAACGCATTCAGCAAGAGATGTTCCTCCAAGGCTACCACATACACATGCCGAGGCAGCTCAAGCTGGCAGGCTACCATATTGCAAGCGCACCAGGCCTAGCTAGAACCCAAAACTAAGGAGCGGCACGCAGCAGTCAAAGGCTGACAGGATAAATGACACTCAAGCTCCAGCGTAATCAAGGGCCCGGCACGTATGCCCAAGCGACCCTCGCACAGGGCTCCGCACGCCCGTGCGACAAAAGAGCTGAAGCCAAGCTAGCAAACCAGGCGAGGCAAATTCAACTGCAATGGCAACTGTACATGGTGGCTGACAAGAACGAATAAACAGAGAATACGTGTATGCAGAGCATTGAAACGGCTCAAACCGAAAGATCCCTGCCGCTGCGCATCGGCAGCATGCTTGCAGTCGGGAACAGGTAGGCATTATGCAAAATATCCCTAAGATCCGCCGGGGCGGCACAACGTGGCTCGGTGCCGTCGTTACAGATAAAGAACTGCCACACACTCGCCAGTGAATCAGAAGGACAGCTAAGTGCAGCCTGGTAGTGACCCGAGGTTGTGTGTGTTTCCATGATGGTAGATGACAAAGGCAACCCTGAACTGGCGGTGTTGCAGCTCGATGCTGCCAGGGGTAGCGAAACGCGGCATCACAAGGGCATCGCGTGGCCGAATCAGCACTGGGGCAGTGTTCTTAACAGTGCGTTCCCGAACCCTGGTATAGCGCTTAAGCTGAAGAACCAACAAACCCGAATGTGAACTAAGGGCATGTATGGCTGGCTGAGCCGACCAGGCGTCCACAAGACTCTGCAGGTCCGAGCCTTGCACATCTACCAAAATCGGAGAGTGGTAGTGGTAGTAGTAGTAGTAGTTGTTGTAGTAGTAATAGTAGTAATAGTAGTAATAGTAGTAATAGTAGTAGTAGTAGTAGTAGTAGTAATTGTTGTTGTTGTTGTACACTTCAACTCGAAGCAGGGAGTCCGAGACTGCTGAGCGACTGTGGCGCGCTGTAGCGCGGCAGCTTTGCTGCAAGGTATTTTACCTTCCATCCATCCTGCTTGACCGCTCCGTAGAGCCTTTGCGCACCAAGCCAACTGGTCTGCAGAGGGGCAGGTACGAGTACAAAATTACAGCCCTCCGTCCGGATGCAGAAAGATGATGTAAGCGTTACGAAGGAGAGTAGGAATATCACCCCTGGCGACAGCTTGAGCCCTGGTATTATCATCTGTCCACCACATCTTCCCGGTCGGCTCAATCAAAAGTGACCAATAGTGGCTGCAACCAGGAGTGTTCCCGAGGTGCACTGCTACAGCTCCTGCCCTGAAGGAGCGCTCAGCGAGAGAACCTTGGCAAGGAGACTGGAGGAACGTCTTTCCTTACAACCCTGCCCGCGGTGCAGAAGCGGTTCAGTTGCAAAGCAGCGCAAGCGACACCTGCAGTGAGAGCTGGCTTAGCTGGAATGTCATGCCAGTGTCGCACTAGTTGTTGCAAGTTACAAACCCCTCTGACAGTAGGGAGCTGGGCTGAGAGATGACACTGTTGATGAGGAGTGGGCATGCATACATTACCGCAATCCAGTAGTTGGCCCTGAGCCAAGACGGCCCAAGAACCCTGAAAGTGCACGAGTGGTCCTGCCTGCAGAAAATGTCCCAAAAAATCTGCGGCATCTTGCTGCCGACCATCGTGTGGCCAGCCTTGAAGGTACCTGCGCCACAGCGGGTGTGTCCACACGTGAGCAGGAGGGGAACTCTGCTGAAGGGTGCACAGATCTGCGTGAACGGGGGGTGCCTTAGGCCCCGATGTCCAGGCACAAGTTAACAGAACCGCATTCATGTAGCACTCATTGCCCTTGTTCTGCAAGACTAGTTTTCGCAGTTGCTGCAGAGCGGCCGCGTGCGCAGATCTTGAACAACGGACTGAGCTGGGGCCGATCTGCTCCTGCGTTCCTTCCGAAGGGTGGTGGCCAGCAACTGGAGGGCTGAGTTCCCAGCTAGGGCCAGAATTTCGGCTCCCGTAAGCCCAGAACCATCTTGAACGTGACTGTGGGTCCCGTGAGGTT